CTTTGTGGAGCGTCTGCCAGCCGTGTCATATCGCCTGGCCCTGCTGGGTGCACTGTGTAAATATTACGGTATTCTAGGCAGGGGGAGCCGACCCGGGACTTCTAGGGCGCTCCTCTGAGAGCTGAAGGTACGTCTGACTGAGGGAAGGCCGCTGAGAGGGCTGTCAGACGCACAGCGCTGGGACTATCACTCTTAAAGAGTTCGCAGGGCACTTGTGAGAAAGTGAAAGAATATAGCATCTTATCTCAAGGCAGAGCGGTCCAGCTCATAAATGAAGGCTGAAGCCCTTCTGAATACACAAACAATTCTTATATGGTTTTACTGGGGTAAATGGTAAATTGTTTGCCAATGATGGAGGTAACAAGCAGTGTTTATAACAGTCAGATTATGTTGAAAGTAGCAAATAATTAACACTATTAATATTCTATCTATTTGTTTACTGACAATATAACCAGGGGTTCTCAAACTAGGGTCTAAGGTCCACTTGGTGCAGCAAGGGGGTTCTAGGGTCCAAAGAAAAAAATATGAAAGGGAACCCAAGAGGATTTTATGAAACCAATACAGTAACATTCAAAAGTAACATATTTTAAGGAATTAATACCTTTATTCAATAAAGAAGCATTAAATTGATCAAAAGTGACAGTAAAGGCTTTGACATTGTTATAAAAACTGGTCCCACGTTATATTAGTTAACTACTATGTATTTACATCAGAAAATAAGTACAATGTACTTATTGTGTTCATATTGTATTGCAAAACACTTCTGCTGCTATTGAGGTGGGATACAGGTAAGGTTAGGGACAGGTTTAGTAGTATGGGTAGGTTTAAGGGTGTGTTAAGGTGTGAGGGATGTGTCAACAGTGTAATTATAATCAATTACACTGTGGACCCATTAAATGGGAAATTAATTACAGATCTAATTACATGTAGGTATTTTTTTAAATATAAGTACAATGTAAAAACATGTATGTACACAATAGCCGCGTTTCCACTGCCAGGCCAAACACTAGCATGCTAGTGCGTACCAGGGCCAGTCGTGTTTCCACTGTCACTTCTGGGGCTTGATCGTGCCTCGTTGGGGCTTCCTAGAGGCCAACGGCCAGGGATTTTTGGCCCGCCGAAAACCTTGGGCCAAGCAGGCCAGCTCGGGCTTGAGGAGTGCTTATGAACAACGGCGGAGTTTCTCCGCATCTGGAGAGCATCAGCGGCGTGAATTATTTCATAGTTAACAGCTATAACACCAGCATTAAAATTATTTTAAAACGATTTAGCTCAATAACTTCTGTTTGAGGCCCGATTATGGGATGATATTAGACTCAAAATGATTAATAGATGCACGCACAATTATCCATGTATTGCATAAATTTTATACATGAATCTTACTAACTACAAACAAATGCCTTTCAATTTGAGTCTGTGGAGTTCAGGATTAAATGATTGTGCAGCGATTTGTACAAATACAGACATGTTTGCGAATAAAAATGTTCTGTTCTGCATTAAAATATCATAAATTGCTCATGCAAAAAGGAATCTGTTCATCTGTGGATCAGGTGACACGCGTGCATTAATTGATGTCTAGTTCGAGTCGATCTTGTTCAGTTCATTTGGATTTTAAGACTTCATTTTCGCAATTTACAGCATTTCACGTCCCCCACACACACAACTACCAACGAACAAGGCCCAGTGCAATTCATTAACGTGTACACGATTTGAAAAATACGCAAATGTGCGTCACTACACTGAAACAAGTGCTTTTCAACCGGTATCTGCAGAGTTAAGAATTACATGAATGTGCAGCATTTTGTTCAAATAGAGACATATTTGTGAATACAAATGTTATAGTTTGTATTAAAGTATCATAATTTGTGCATGTTGACGATGCTTATTAGCCATCTCTGCAGTACGAGAGAAATGCACCTTTCATGTAGTCCTACAGCATTGCAAACACTGCAGCCTGTTCATTATCAGAATAAAATACAGTCAACCAAACATATAGATACACTATAGAATCTAGATACACTGCTTAATTAAAACAGCCCTTAGTTCAATCCGTTCCGTTCAGCCTGAGCTCGGGCCAAGCACATATTTACTCATGTGAAGAGGACGATTTTTCATGTGAAGACCATGATTTTTTTTTTGGAAAGCGGGTTAAGTACAAAGCCTGGTTTACATAGGCCTAATAAATAGCCAACATTGTGAATATGGAAACATTTGGATTCATGCCAAATGAGAGAGTAAGAAAGAGGATTACAGGGCCAAACAATAAAAAAAAAAACATCTCCAGAATAAAGTCATTAGCCTATAATGCGAGATTAAACTCATTAAATATCCAGAAAAATGTAGAAATAAAATATTGAGAATAAAAATAATTTAATTTCAATAATAAAGTCGTTCATCAGCATCGTCAACTTCATCTTTGCAGACACTGACTCAGAAAACAGTTTAGTAACAAGTAGCCTAAATAAAATATGTTCTAGCTATTTATGCGATCCGTTTGAACGCGGAATAGGCTATAGCCTATAAAACATTAATAGTTTAATTAAATATAAACGTGCGATTACTAATGGCTTAAATGAGCGACTATAAAAGCCCTTTTAATAATAATAATAATAATAATAATAGCCTACAAGGAAGGAATAACTGTAATAATAATAATAATAATAATAATAATAATAATAATAATAATAATTGTACACGTTAATGAATTGCACTGGGCCTTGTTCGTTGGTAGTTGTGTGTGTGGGGGACGTGAAATGCTGTAAACTGCGAAAATGAAGTCTTAAAATCCAAATGAACTGAACAAGATCGACTCGAACTAGACATCAATTAATGCACGCGTGTCACCTGATCCACATATGCACGGATTCCTTTTTGCATGAGCAAGTTATGATATATTAATGCAGAACAGAACATTTTTATTCGCAAACATGTCTGTATTTGTACAAATCGCTGCACAATCATTTAAGCCTGAATTCCACAGACTCAAATTGAAAGGCATTTGTTTGTGGTTAGTAAGATACATGTATAAAATTTATGCAGTACATGGATAATTGTGCGTGCATCTATTAATCATTTTGAGTCTAATATCATCCCATACCCGATGTGGATTATGATCACCATACAAGGCAGAAATATTTATAAGTGATGCAAAAGACTATTCATGCTAGCCATTACCATAGTAAACATGGTAAATATGACCGCTTGAAGAAATCAGACAAATCATACAGGCTATCACAATCGTGTACTTATTTAGTAACATATTTTATCTGTCAGTAAGTCTCGTCTCTTTATACCTGACTTTCTGATGTTCATATTTAGCTCCACGTATGTCATAAAATATATCATAATCATAGTTTTTGTTCGGAGCTCACTCTGCTACTCAGGTCATTTTTTTAAGGAAAAATTATAGAAATTATCATTCTTTCTAAATTTGATGTATACTGTGACTACAAATAAACAAAAAAGACGTGACTGAATGTGTGTGTCCTCTTTCTCTTGTGAAATAACGGTAAATGCCATTTTTTTTCTGGGTGACTAATATTCATTCCTGACAAATTAATTCATTATGATCAATGTATCACGAATTATTGTAAAACTGGTAAAACATCGATGCTGTCGGATTTAAATCTTTAAGTAAACAACAAAACATGCAAACAAACGGCCGCTTTTATCATGTTCGTTTTGTGATCTCGCTAGTTCCAGTGATTTATTTCTGATAACTTCTCTTTGTTGGTGAAATAATGGGGTTGCGTAACGTTGTTCCAGAGAGGCGTGTAAAGGGTGGGTTTTAGTGAAGTGCAGCGGAGCTTCTGGCCCGACGATGGAAATGCAGCGATGCTACAGGTCTGAGGCTATTAGCCCCACCTGGCCTGTTTAAAGCACTGGCTCACACTGGCCCGACAATGGAAAAGCGGCATCAAATGATTAATCTAAATGTGAGTACATAGTAGTTAAGGCCATCTAATACAAAGTGGGACCACATATTCAAATAGTTTGTATTGTTTGTTAGGTTGTAATAATTCAAAATCTTACAGTTTTTTACTATATATTTTAGCATAAGTATATTACTATCCCATGAGGCCACAGGAGAAAAAATGCGTAATGATGTATGCATAAATGGTGGAGAACAGGGACACCATGATGTAATAAGTATGGATTGTATTTAAGCTACACATGTATACTTATAAAATGTAGTTTTAACTGGTCAAGAAGCAATGAGAAATGTTTAAATACTTTGAATAAAATGTCATATTGTTGTGATTCATCTCGGATCAGATTGGTCTCTTTCACGGCTTTTACTGACATTTTTTTTATGCCTGTGGTGACAATAAATGTAAAATTGATTTCCAGATGATGCAGCAAAATAATTTCGACGTGAGATTTTTGTTCATAATTCAGATTTTTTTTTTCCTGTAACTGGTGAAAAACGCTAGTTTAGACAGACAGAGAATCAAGAAGTGGCTGAGAGTGAAGCAGAAATGTATTTTTCATAATTGCATGGATTCAAAGAGCAAAGCCATTTCCCGTAACTGCACAGGGCCATTCATTCTCCCCTCTGTTCCTGTGTGTAGTAATTGTAATGATGTGATCGAGCTGGCATTCTACATTCACTCTCATCCACAATAACAAAAAAGCGCTCTGGTCCCCCGTGTGGACGCGCTTCCTGTAGCTGTCACTATAGACCGGGTAATTTGTTGATTTAAATGGTTGTATAACTCAGGGCCCCAAGACAAAATGAGCGGAGAAGACGACTCCAGGAGGAAATCTGAAACGGAGAGGGTTATCGTCACCGCAGCTGTCTCACACACTTCCTCTGTGACAGTACGTCTGATTAGATTTGCCAGAGGACGACAACTTCTGCCCACCTTTTTTCTCTGTTCTCTCACGTGGGACTGAGAGAGAGAGACAGACACAGATTGAAGAGGAGAGACAAAGAGAAGGGGAAACAGAAAGCAGAAGAGTGGAGGAAGGAAGGAAATGGAAGAGATATTTGTACTCACATCTGATGCAGGACCCTTATCTGCTCCGGGGCAGGAGAAGGTGACGAATTCATGGCAACGCTTGTGCACCACAAAGCAGCAGACTGAAAGAAGGAAGAAGGGTGAGACAGACAGATGAGATAAACAGTGAGAATCAGAGCTCATGGCACTGACAGACATTCATCTGCTGTGACAAAGGTCCTGTTTGATTTCACGTCATGCCCTTTGACCCAACCTGAACCCCCCCTCACAAAAACTGCATCGCAATACAACAATGCATGAGGCCTTACTACAACCGTTTAACAAAAAGTGGTTAACAAAAACCATGAGTGCTTGTTTATTGCAGCTATTATTACATAATTCTTGGCTTTTGAATTGATTCCCAATTTGTGAGTGCTCCACAGTTGAAACAAAAGAGACAAGTGTGTTATGGCATTTAAATGGTGCTCTGTGTAGCGCACATGTACCACACATCACCACATTTTCTATTTTTGTTGCAGCGCATACCGACTGCAGCAATTATTTTCTGAAATAAAATACATGGCAATTAATTCACACATTAAATTTGCCAACAAAATCATTGTATTAAATTATTTATTTCAATTTTGGAGTTCCCTTCATTCCTTCTCCATAAACTGCAATAATTCACTGGTTATGTTACAGTTTTGGAAATATCTCTCATTTTCATTCTTTTGAGATTTCAAAATGGTCCATAAGCACACATTTTTACATTTTTTAAACAACGGCTACAACAAAGATATATGATAAACAAAAATAGAATATTTGCTTATTCAACTAGCTTAACCAGCAGTACTGGATGACAAACATTTTTAGGTCATTCGTAGCATCAGAAACAAACCTTCATAAACATTCACAGCTATGTTGGTCCACCAGTTAGACCAGCACCAAACCAGTAAAAACCAGCATGAAATTTATGTTGGCCTAATGAAATGAGGCTGCATTTATATATATGTATTTTAATTAACATAAATACGAATAATTTAATAAGTAATATAATGTAATATAAAGTAAGTAATGTAATGTATATAAATACACATATTGAATTTTCTATATATATATATATATGTGTGTGTGTGTGTGTGTGTGTACACACACATACACACACAAATGATATATATGATAAAAACCATCACTGAATTAAACATTTAATATAGTTTATACACATTTCATTTAGTCAGTCTTTTCTTAAATCCAATATAATATTTAATGTATATGTGTCAACTATGTAGTATCACTACTGTGCTGTGTGAATGCTTATCACTGCCTACAGTATATGGTGTGTTACTCAATATTAGTAGGCAGTATACGGTACTGTATACTACACTGTAAGCAGCTAGTATACAACAACCTGTGACAGCAGCCAATCCGCATCAGAGCTATAGGAGCTGATACTAGCCTACTATGCAAATGCTATGCTGTGCTGGACTATACATACAATGCCCCTCTGTTCACATCACTAATGCCCCTGGCACCTCTGCAGCGTGACACATCCAGGTCATCGTAGGGGCATTGTTCTTCCTGCTGCAGGTTAACGCTCCTATTCACTGAAGGTCATCATGTGTATTTGATCTGTAGTGTTGGTATTTCTGATCCCATGAGACTGGAGTAGGTTATAGACATTTTCTCATGGGAGTCTTTCACATTCACTGTAATCTCTTTTAAAATCTGCACTTTTAGTCTAGCAGCTCTGGCCAAAACACAACAGCCAAACTTCAGACAGGCCGAACCGCCACTGTCACCCACACACTCCAAATACTCCAGTGAGAAAAGTGAGAGAGAGAGAAAAACAGATTTGGAAGAGAACTGAAGCATATGATTCAGTGAAGTTTGCTCTTTTCATCTTTGTGATCCTAAACCAGTTTATTAAAAAATAAAATAAAAATAGGCCAAATACAACCTGAGCTAAACATTCAAGCAGCACCTAGTAACAACAATATTCCAGTTCTTTTGAGCTCCTGCATCTTTTTGGATTGGGAACTGGGCAACAGAACAATCAGTCCCTTGATTAGCTCGTTTGCAGATCTGTGGAAGGACCAGATTACTATAAAAACAATAATGTGTTAATATGCCATTTTACTGTCCATTAAAAACCTTTTTTCTAGTACAAATTTCTTATTGAATAAAAAGAGAAAGAATCACATCTTCTCAGATTTTTTCCTTTTAAGAACAAAGATAGTACTAAGAAAATAGGTAAAAAAAAAAATGAGAAAAATAAATAAATGTGGTAAATAACAGTGCTTGAACAGAATATTACCAAATTCTCTCCCAAAATAAGGGGGGGGGGGGGGGGGGC